TGTAAGCCTGTTAAAGATTAGTCTTTAATAGTTTTTGTCAGTTTCTTTACTCGCGTCAACAGACCAGACAGACCATGCAAACACACCTCATTATGAACAAATCTCAACATAATATAATATTTCGAGTGATATTCTTGATTTGCCTCTAAATGAATTTAAAACACACATTAAAAATTGCTTGCTTGAGAAAGGACATTATATTGTTAAACAATAATTGAATGATAGAACCGCCTGTTCGTAATTGTAAATGCCTTAACTGAATAAATTAATATTGAATTTTGAATTTAATACCTGCAGTTATTTTTCTGAGCGACAAATAACAAAACACTTCCATAAGTAAGTGAATTTGAATTTTAATGTGTAATCATAAGATTACTCTTTTAAAGTGAATCGTTTGTAACAATGCCGCAGTTTTTGTCGTTTATCTTTAGCATGTTATGAGATTTTTAATTGTTTTTAAATAATCAGAACATGTCAACAAGCATCGGTAGTTCAGCGGCAGAAAGCTCGCCAGCCACGCGGGCGGCCCGGGTTCGATTCCCAATTGGGAAAAACTGTTTTTATTTTGCACTTATTACCCCTCGTTTCCGCCAAGAAAGAAGTCATGTACTAGTTTTAAACAAAACTAGTAGAATACTTGTTGTGGCTGTTGAAAACATTTTTTCGTTTTCAATGCACAGGCAACCAGTATATTGCAAGTATAAATCACTTACTTACTTAACATATTTTGTTTATCCAGCAAGTTTGATGCAAGTATTGTACACTACATGTATATAAGTGTGAACAAAAATTAAGACATTGTATAAAATTTGTTACATACATGTATTATACCTTTACCCTTAGTACGAGTTTTACAATTACGAAAACTATGATAGTTTTCGTGAGCTCGCACTCATACTAAGGGCACTGATTTTATTGTTTTTGTTTCAATACAAATAAACAATGTTTAAATTCTATCATTATATCATTTGCGTCTTCATAAATTTTAAGTATATTTGATTACGTTTCACCAAAATAGACATAGAAACATAATTTACAATTCGAAAACTATGATAGTTTTCGTGAGCTCAAACTCGTAGTAAGGGTAATTGGTGTAAACGAGGGGTTATAAGTCAGAGAAACATTAATTAACTAAGCGTAAGTGTACCTTTATATATTTTTTGTTTTTGCGTCGTTCATAAGAGGACACCCAATCTTTTTTATATATTTTTTGCTAAGTATCATTTGCTTTGACCCACCACAAGCTTTGATCCCCATCTTCGGTTGGGTGAATTGAAGATGTTTTCCTTATACGACATTCCGCGTTGACATATAAAGTATCATTAAATGTTAATCCAGTATGTTTTTAATAAATTTCATTCAAATCTTTTCGGTTACTTTTGAAGATACATTTCTAAGCACCACTTGCAACAAAGTTCTTTAGTTCTGCCATCTCTGTTTAACTTAAAACAATTGACAAAGATGGAATGATGGTAGGTACTAGACACAAAAGCCTTAATCTGAATTAAGAACTTTACAATTGGTGCTAATAATATTATTTATTAGGGTAACTACGCAACAGGTGGTATCAAATGATATGTATGAATAATTGTATGAATAGAGTTCAGATTAAATGATAAAATGATTATATGTACAATAGAAAAAATGGTTATACCACTTGTCTCTGCCAAGGGCGGAAAAGTGGAATTCTGTTCCACCAATTTCTGCTGGTAGAGATAAATAGAAAAATATACCTACACTTACGCCTATTTATGAGTTTTTGACAATAACACTTGTTCGTATTTTTAAGATCTTTATAATAATTAGAAGGTTGTATTTACCAATAGATTTACCTAAAAAATCAAATGTCTAAAAAAACTCTATAGTCATATAAATTACTAAAAATAATAAATTGTATAGTATTCAGGGTTTTCATGATTTAAAACGAATATAAAACTCTAAGAAAAAGCAATAGCTCAATTTTTCTATAAGAATGTTTATTTAAGTTCTTTCAAAGTTTTAAATAACTGCACTGTACTCGATATTATTAAAATAGAAGGACGCAAGAAATTATACTTAAAATGTTTAATGGTTATATTTTTGTATTTTATTTATTTGTTAGAAATTGATTTACATAAAAAATAAGTAAAAAAATGTGAACATAAAAAAGTTTATGTTGAAAACTCCTACGTTACTTTCCGCATACTTTAATAGTTTCACCGTTACAAAACATAAAATGGCAAACTTACCTCTTCATCATGACTGGTTCGTAGTTGTGTCGGAGGCTGCTACGACGCTGCTTAGTGCTACAAGTGCCGTAGCGGCGACCATCCGCGCCTTATATCTACACTCGCCCCGCCCGCAATGCAAGCTTGCAGTACTGATTGAAATTTATTGGTGCTTCAGATTTTAGATATGAGTTTTTGGAAAAAACGACGCAATAATATCGTGGGTGATAATTTCTGTTATGTTATTTGATACATTGATTAAGGAGTGGAGCTAAATAAAGGAAAACAGTGGTTGCTTACAGTGTTTTCGAGTTTTAGTGTGGTTTGTATTAGCCTTGTTGACGTAACCACCTGTTGCCATCACTGAGCAACACGGGTAGGTTGGCATATACCTAAATGTTTGTCAGTCCTGTGGATTTAAACAAGTGGCCGAACGTACGCGGTTTAGCTTTGGAGTAAAAATTTTAAATTATATGCCGCAAGTATGTTTAATTAATACAATAAATGAAAGCCAGTGTTATAACAAGTGGTTTCACTGATTTAAAAGTTATTATTAAACTTCAAAGTAATCATTCTATTCTAACAAATAGAAAGAATGTCACGTATTAATTTTAACTTGAGAGACTTTGTATATTTCTTTTCCAACTTTAAAGTTTATTAACGATAAAATGGAAATTATTTATACTGTTACACAACACCCAGTCAAAATTTAAATTAACGGATAGCAATACAACTAAGTAATTGTATCTATCATTTTGAATATTAAGTTGTTCAAACATTTTCAATTACTTTATTATTTGTTCATATTTCAACTAAATTGGTTTTGAAAATACATAAAGAATCTTAAATGAAAATATTTTTATGTGTCTTGCGTGAGGTTAATTACCTATTCAAATTGTACTTTTAACATCTTGGAAAACAAAAAAGACCTTTGATGATTTTTATGAATATTTTGAAAATTGTTACAATGTAGAATTAAACTTGGTTCAATATGCATCGTAAATTTTGAGTTACTGTTTGCTGCGAGTTAACGTTAAAAAAAATATTTAAAAATTTAAGAATAATGTTTTATTGCGGAAATATGATCTAAATCGTTGTCTTAATTAGCTAGTAAAGTATCTCCGTCTCTCAGGTAACACAAAATTCACGGTGATATTTCAAAGTTCATTTTGCTAATTCATATTTTGCACAAAAAGATTAGTTACACTGTTATTCACCTCTTAAATATCACCAGCTATTTTGTGCAACTTAGCACTTAAGCAATAATGGGGAAGAAAACGCAAAGCTAATAACAGACGGCGTTTGGGACTGGGACTTAAGGCCAATAATAATCAATGTGTCACTTTGAGCCAGCCGATTCAATTAGTTTTTCTTGTAGAATAGGGATGATGACTAATTTTTTTTTCTTCGTTTATCAGGTAGATTATCAAAAAGTATTGGACACGTATTTTTTTCTTTTTTCACATAATATAAACATTGCACAGATATATTGATTTGAAAAGACGCATGACGTCACGTTTGAGTACACTTTTAAGCGAATATTCTCTAAAAAGTGACGTCACGAGCCCCTGCTCCCAAACTTTGACGCGCTATAACTTTGTCATTTTTTGGTTGATTGCCCAAAGAAAAAATACGTGTCCATTATTTTTTGATCATCTAACTGACGGTCTAAATATAATTTCGTTTACTGTTATCACCCCTATTCTATAAAAATGGTTTTTTACTACCTACAATAAAAGCAGGTCCGGATTTAGATATCAGCGGGATCACCCGACATACCCCGGATGCAGTGCCGAATTTACCCTAAGGCCCGGGCTTAGGGCGGCCAGATTTTGGGACGGGCCCAATCGTGACAAAAAGTTGTATGACGGGCGGGCTGCACTGTATCGTGCAATCTATACCGCATCCTTAAATACTCTTCTATGTTTTTTCGTTCGCTGCCAACAATATTAAATACGCTAGATACAACAACACGAACAAAATCGTTTCCGAAGCCTGTTCAAAAGGTACATTGGACGATCCACTGAGCTCTGTAAGATGATCGCGTAGTCAAGAACACCTTTAATGCATACTGTATAAGGTCTTAATTAAAGCGCATGCGTCAAAGAGTTATGAATGTTCGAAATGTAAGCTCGTAAAAATTTACAACTTATTGCTATATGCGGAAGAATATAGACCTTATTTCTATGACTCTACGCGCAATTCTGAATGCGCTATTAGCAATGTAGCAGTTACGGACCGCGAAGAAATGAGACGCCTATATTACCGACCATGCATTTGAATATATCACAAATAATTCTTTTAATCAGTTTATAGTAAGTATTAGATTTAGAACCATATTTGCTTCAAATGCGTTAAATTAATAAACATCTGTCGCAAAAACGACACTTTACGTACTATAAGTTTTTTTGTTCGCATATTTTCACGAGCTCTGCGTCATTTTGACTTTTCTACGGTCCACGTGTGACTGTGAACACAGAAGTGCTTGAGTGGTGTTCAAGCACTTCTTGTTTGGGACACATTTTGAGTGCACGTGGAGTATCTAATATTGTTGTTCACTCCGCGCGAGTCATAAAAACAAAAGCCACCACGCCACCGCGGCCCCGCGCCACTCCGCTGTTCTCTAACTGCATTGTGCTATAGCTACTGCAGAAAGTGGTAAACAATTTTACTAATTTCATACCGGTATTCGAGACGCGACGTATATATTGCTATAATAACAAAAATCGACAGCTCATGAATATTTTACAGAGTGATACCTTACGTAAGAAGTGTTAAGTTACATAATTAGATATGGATGGAATGAAAAGGTTAAGTGAGGCAGAGTATCGCAAGCGAGCTAAAGAAAAAGATGATAAACAAAAGGATGTGATTAATAAAACGCGGAAATTAGACGATATCTTTGTGAAACCAAATATTAAAGATCATATCATTGATCCAACACGTGACGTTCCATGTGGTAGTGGCAGTGCTACGTTAACTGATGTTTCTTCAGTGTCATCAACTGCAGATACTTCGATCGTTGCGGGAAGTGGATCAAAGGAAGAAGCCGTTGATGTCCCACTAATAACAGGAGTGCACCTTAATCTGGACCAGGAGCGGTGCAAAATCAGCTACGATCCAGCCAAATGGACAATCGACGATTACTTTTGTAAGAACGAAGCCAATCAAAACATCCAAAATGACTTTCCTAAGAGTGTGCTTATTTACAAAGATAAGGCGCGACAGTTGTCGAAACATTTATTCTTACGTCAGCTTCTAAATGGCGAAAAAGTTTTACGAAAGTGGCTGATTTATTCCGAAAGTACTGGATGTGTTTTTTGTGGACCTTGTCTTCTTTTTAATGGTGGGGAGAGTCAGTAAGACAAAAAGGAAGGTTTCAATGATTGGAAAAATTCCTATTATCGAATATCAATCATCATTATGAGAATTCGTCTACTCACAAATTATCTATCCTGCGTATGAACGAACGAAGTAACGATTTAGGTCGCATTGACCACGCATTAACAATGCAATTCGATGATGAAATAAATTACTGGAAAAACATTCTGAAAAGATTAGTTGCATGTGCAAAAACGCTTGCATCACGTGGATTGCCTTTCAGAGGACACGACGAAAAATTTGGTTCATTTCATAATGGAAATTATTTGATGTCCTTAGAGCTTATCGCTGAATTCGATTCGTTCTTAGCCAAACACATTTCACGATATGGGAATCCAGGCTCATGACATACGCGCTATCTTTCTTCAACAACATGCAAAGAATTCATTCGGCTTATGGGAACAAAGTTTTGAAGACAATTGTTATGAAAATATAAAGAGCGAAATATTTTTCTCTGATAATTAACTCGACGCCGGATATATCTTATGTAGACCAGCTCACTTACGTTATCAGATATGTCCTGCCTAATGGATTACCTGTAGCATGTTTTCTTAAGTTCATACCAAACACAGGCCATAAATCTCAACAAATTTCAAATGTTATTACCTCAACTTTAAGTGAATTGGGAATTGACATTTCAAACTGCCGAGGGCAATCCTATGATAACGCAGCTAACATGTCAGGCATATACAACGACTTACAAGCTAAAATAAAAGAAATTTCTCCCCTTGCCGAGTATGTTCCCTGTTCAGCACACTCGCTCAATTTAGTAGGTGAATGTGCAGCTGAAAGCACCCTAGAGGCTTGTTCGTTCATTTCTTTACTCCAAGAGTTGTACAATTTTATTGAAGCGTCAACTCAAGGTTGGGAACTTCTTCAAACCCACTTCACTATCAAAAGTTTATCAACGACTCGTTGGTCAGCTCGTGCAGACGCATGCAAAAGTTTACGTGAATCGTAGGATGAAATCCATAAAGCGTTAGTCTCCATCGAAAATGACACACAACAGAAGAGAGCCGTTATATGCGAAGCAAGAGGTATTCGTTTAAAGCTGGAACGTTTTGAAATGGCCATCATGACTGTTTTTTAGGGATGTTTACTGGATCGCATTAACGCCACAAGTAAAAAGCTACAGAGTGTGAAAATCGACATCACCGTTGTCATAGAACTCTATGAGGTTCTAATACGTTTTATTGATGAAACACGTAATAATTTTGATGAGTTTGAGAACAACGCCAAGGAATTGTCCATTTCTTGTGAATATGAAAGAGATTTTAGACGCAATTAAAAGCGTAAGCTACTTCCTGGCGAGACATTAGATGAAGAGATGCGTCAAACAAATGGCCGCGAAGATTTTAGTATTAATACTTTTTTGGTCATAATTGATAGATTATCAGCAGAATTCAAAAAACGGCGAGATGGCTGTAATCTGACACAATTAAGCGCGTCAGAAATCAAGGAAAAGATCAAAGCATTGTAAATAATTTATTCTTCCGACTTAGAAGACAATTTTTTAGAAGAATGTCTCCATTTTCGTCTTCGCCTTATAAAATATGAAGATCGTAACAGTGCTGTCAGTTTGTTAAAATGGTTATGGACTGAAGGCCTTGAAAGCATTTACCCAAACATGGATATTGCTGTACGCATGTGTGTGTACTCCCGCCAGTAACTGTTCAGGAGAACGATCGTTTTCGTGTTTACGACGAGTTAAAAATTATATACGCACGACAATGACGGACCAAAGCTTAAATGATCTTGCTTTACTGAAATTAAATTAGATTGCGAAGACATAATTAATGATTTTGCTGCACTTAAGTGCAGGCGAGTTTTATAACAAATTGTATTACACTTATTAAATAAAACTAGTTTTTACGGGTTAATGCACGAAACTTTATTTATTTATGGACGTTTTGCAGCCTTTTCAGGTCTGCATCGTCAGAATAATGATTTTTTATTTAAAATTGTCGAGCTACCTTCATATATATAGAATATATGTAACACTTATTACATATATTCTACTCTTAACCTGTGAAATAAATAAAACCTGAAACCTCGTAAAATATTAGAAATTAGCAGCTATTATTATTAATTATAGAAAACTTATAGTTACTTTTACCCACACTACCCACCCGCACTTGCGATAACAAGTAGCTCTGTACAAATTTATTGTGCTTTATTAGATATTCATATATTTCACTCGCAATTAAGTGTTAAAAGTTAAAATAGTTAAAGTATGCCAAATTGGCACAGTATGTTAGAGCAAATTACTAGTTGTAAAAACTTATGTACCATGCGAAATATTTTTTTTCCTAAAGTTCTAAATCTATTCAGATTAATAATAAATATATATATATATATTATAAAGTTGGCAATAAAGTAATTTCATTATGTAGTCTATATGGTGGAAGCTGAGAAAGGGGCGGCTGTTGGCTTGGGGCCTAGGGCGGCCGAGACTGCAAATCCGCCACTGCCCGGGTGATCCCACCGTGGAGCACCAGCTAGGCTGTTGGGTGCGGAAACGCGTTGAAGTCCCACAACGGGGATCTCACAGTTCCGCACTTAACAGCGTAGAGGGTATTCGCAGGGCTTAAAGCAGATAGTATGCCGTGGACTGCCTATCGGCTTCTCCGTTTCGCACCCGTGAGACTTGCGAGAGGCTAGGTGTGAGATCCGTTTGTTGGTGTGCCCCTTAAGAGCGCCCACGTCTGTAAATAGAGGATTTGCCTGCGTAACAAAAAAAATGAGGAGGCAGCGAAGCATATAAAGGAATTTGAAAATTGATACGACTGGATCACAATATCCCGTCGTCACCCGATCAAACATCGCAAACACTTAGTTCATAAAGGTAATTGGACGGTCTTCTTTCAAGAGGCCAAGTCGAACCACTGCCTGCCATATGCAATGCTTTAGAGTTGCGTCATCAACAAGGAACCCTTATTAATATATGACTTGTTGCTTATTGGAAACGAGGGCATAATGTCTAGAATACTATCATAGTCATTATCACACACACATGTCGTTTGTTTTTTTGTCACAGAATAAGTGAATTTTATAATGAATAGCATAATTAAATTTATTTTCATATGATAAAATAAAGTATTAGTTCCAATCAAATTCGCATAGCGTTATATTTCTAGGATCGTGATATAATTAACCGGCTGGGGCGAGGCACAGATAATAACTCCAAATGTTGTCTCTAGGGGCATTTCCTCAGAACAATTTATTAGTTTTATCGTCTTCTTGGTTTGTAAGTCGATTAGAATTCCGTTTATTGTTTCCGGGACACATTTTCGACCAAAATGCCAAATGTGATATCATCGGGAAGAGGTGGAAAACAGCGGAATTCCCGCTTAGATTAGAGCGCTTGCAGCTAGTATCTTAAAAAAACTGCAGTAATTACTACTATACCGTTTTTACTGTGCTTAACAAAACTGTCAATAAGGTCCAACTGGCAGTAGGGTATATATCTTGAAGGTCCAACAGGCACCAAAAAAGAGGTCACATGGGCACATTGAATATAATTTTTTGAAGATGGTCCAATGGGCACATTAAATATAAAACTTTTTAAGAAGGTCCAATGGACTCCAAAAAAGAGGTCCAATGGTCCCTTTTTGCCTTTGGGACGAATCTTGAGGGTCCAACGGATACTAGACCGTCTTCAATACGAATGATGAATAACATTTTTTCTTAATTTGTCAGTTATATTGACGACCTCCGTAACCGAGTGATTTGTACGCCGGGTTTCATGGTATCGCCGACTCGAGAGGCCGGGTTCGAATCCCGGTGGGGACAGATGTTTGTGTGATGAATACGAGCATTTGTACACCAGTCATGGATGTTTCATATATATTTCTATATAAATATATGTACAGTTTCTATCCGTTATCCTAGTATCCCATAACACAAGCCTACAGTGCTTACTTTGTGGCTAGGCTAATTGGTGTGAGTGTTGGAAATATTTATTTATATAATATGTAATATAGTTATAAAGAACCGGCCAAATGCATTTTAAGATTCAGCATTATACACTATTATAACAATGGCAAAAATCATGTCTTTTGTATAGATGTAAATATTGTATTTTAATTAATTTATTTATTTTTAAAGTGAATATGCAACTATATGTTATATGAATATTTAGAGCGTCTATTTGATGCCGTTATTAAGAAGGGCGGCGGGCCATGTATTTTCCATACAAACGTTCTCGACTGAATCCTTCATGATTTTTATCACTAAAAAATTGATTCATTAAATATAATTTTACTCATTCTATGCCCCTGTCTTCCTTTTTTCGATAACTTATGTTTGTTTTATTGTAAAAGCTAAACTATTGACTTGAAAAACCTGTAAAAAATCATGATGCTTTGCTTTGTATGAACTTTTAAGGAAAACAATAACTCTTAAGATAGATTTGTTAGTTTAAATAAATAATTAGTCGTTCTGGTTAAAGAAAATTTCTTACTTATTGAAAATTCCTTCCTTCCTTCCAAAACATTAATAGTGACATAGATGAAGTTATTGTAGCGTAAAACCTTGCATTGCAACCAAATAAAAAAAACTATTTAAAAACTACAATAAAATATCATTAGTTTCACAACGCTACCGCGAGTACCAACGGCAACGGCTTCTGCATCGCGCTAACGTGACGTTTTTATAAAAAGTATATTATAAGTACTTGAAAAGATCGGTCCGCCCCCCCCGATCCTGAGAGACCTTCAGTCGCTCAGTCCCAAACCTATACGGATGCACATCAGAGTGCATCCGTCCTCTAAGCGCACTATGCAGTATTATTTAGAGATGGAAAAAACGGCTTATTTCTTAAAAGCGTTTAAACGTTGTACTTTTTAAAATAAGTGCGCTTGAAAAAAAGCTTTTTCGTTTAAACGCTTATAGGCTTAAACGTTTAAAAGCATGCGTAAAAAGCGCGACGTTGTGTTGTGTTTTCGTTTAGGTATATCGTTTAAAAAAGCGTGAAAAGTTTATTGTCGTTTTTAATGTGTTTAAATGTTTTATTGCGTTTTTTCTTCTTATTAATGAAATTTTTATTAAAAAGTTTTTTTAAACCAAATGAATTGATTGGCATTAAAAACGAAAGATTTTCAATTGAATTTAGATTTTATAATAAACATTTTTATAATAGTCAATGAACTTTCCTTCGTACTTTACAAGCTTAGGACTGTCTGGAGTTAATATACTCCTGATCCAGGCCTACTTAAAAGTTCATTGATTTTATATACATATTTTTAACTATTTTATATGCACATTAGACCAATACACGAAACGCATTAACACAAGCAAGCATGCAACCACACCGTACAACACCCACGCGCTCTTACCCCGTCACAGTGATAAGCGTACTGTTTTTCGACTTCGTTTAATTAAACGCTTAAAAAAACGAAAAAAGCGTTGGTTATCCGACCAAATTTTAAAAAAGTGCATTTTTTTACGTCGCATTATAATAATTCGCATGCTGTATTAACCGGCTCACGAAAGATGGCACGCCGACGCGGCGCTGTAGTCGCGCGTTCTATGGCTGTGATATTGTGAAATATTTATTCCAAGGAATTCCGCGTACCCATTTTTCGATACTGTAGTGGACTAGAAAGATCGAAGTATGTAGTTTTCTGGCAAAGACATAGATGGCGGGATTTGCACTTTTTAAGTAAAAAATATACTTGCACTTTTTTAAGTGAAAAGCTTACTCACACTTTTTAAGTGAAAAGTTTACTCACACTTTTTAAGTGAAAAGCTTATAACGCTTATACTTAAAAGCGTGCTTACAAGCTTAATATTTTAAGCTCGCTTATTTAAGCGCTTTTCGTTTAAACGCCCACCACTAGTAGTATTTACTAAGGCAGCGCTGCATCATCCCCTTCTCAGGGGTTGATCGCATCAGATGAAGCCTGTAAGGCCCCTAAGGCCATAGGCATCCCCCACGGGTGTGTTTTAGTCAGTAAGAGTCTGACATAACCCTACAGCCGGCTGTAGGGTAACCATGAGGATTTCACACCCGCTGCCCCGCCTTGGAGGAAACAAAAAAAAAAAGATCGGTGGTTATACCGCAAGCATTCATCCCCTTCTTAGCGGATTTTGATTGCTGTGTCATACAATATGACAAATACAATGGGTGTTGTTAAGACGTGGGTAAGTTATAGTGGTCAGGAAATACAAACGCTTGGAGGTCATTCCGTGACAACGCGAGGCTGTTGAAATAACAATGGACTTTCCATAAGCTGCTTTACTAAATTGGATATTAAATTATTGGTGTA